ACTCTTTCCAAAATAAACCCAGCCTTATGATGCATGGATTTTATATTAATAGTGCATACTACTGATTAATGGATTTGTTCCTACCTACTTCCTTCAATAAAAATCAAGATCTGTGCATGGTCTCTGGATAAGACAGATGGAGGAAGTATAGACACCTTCTAGTCGGACTGATGTGAATGTGGGAAAATGGCAAAAGAACTGATGAGCAGGAATGCCAGAGTCAGGCCTCCATTTCTTTTGAAACATGACAAACCAGCCCAAGACAGTTACCTAGCATGGTATAGTGGTTAAAAGCAGTGGCGTCTGCTCTGGAGAATTCCCCACTCCTCCACAGGAAGCCTGCTTGGTGACTTCGAGCCGGTCACTGCTCTCTCAGAACTCCCTCAGCCCCACCTGCCTCACAAGGTGCCTGTTGTGGGGAAGGGCTCTGTCCTTACCCCTGTTGTTAAATATAAATAACTCAGTTGGATTCTGACTCCCTTCTATGGGTGTGCACACCAAAAAAATCGGTATTTTTTCGGGTTCATGTATATTGAACCTGGGAAATATCGGTATTTCCTGATATTCCTGAATCCCCATATCAGTATGGTATTGGGATTTGGGAAATATTTGGGATTGCAGAATTTTCCCAGTTCCATTATACCCTGCTGGGGCCTCTCCTAAAAAACCCCTCAAAAAACCAAGTTTCAAAAAGATTGGACCAGGGGGTCCAATTGTATGGGCCCCAGAAGAAGGTGCCCCTGGTCCTCCATTCTTTCCAATGGAGGGGGAAAGTCATTTTAAGGGACTGTGTCTCTTTAAATGCCTTCTACAAGCCGCAGCATGAATTCCACTATTTCTTTATTCATTCTAGCAAATTAATCTAGCTCACTGAGAATCTATTGCCCATCAACTTCATTGGGTGTCCCTGAGTTCTGGTATTACAAGTGAGGGAGGAAAGGAGAAAATTTATATTCCAGCTGTCCCATCATCAATAGTGGCTTAAGATAGCTTACAAAAACCAGTGTTCACCACCACTACAAATGACTCAAAAACCCTCAAACATAACATGATGGCGAGGTAAAACATTTATCTCCTACCTTAGCCAGAGACACTACCACTGTCAAAGGAGGTTTAACAAACTTCCAGAGATGGTCCAGCATGGAAGCCCTCCTGACTTCTTCAGAGAGCCCATTCCAGAGGACTAGATCCACAGGCAAGAAGCTGCATTCATGGTGTGGCAGATCTAATACAGTGAAGAGAGTCAATAGGGAGCCGTGCAGGAAGAGAACAAGAATTCAGTGTCATCATGATCTGAAGACAGCTTTTAACCATTTCAGAGAAGGGGTGCTTCCAGTGGAAATTGGTGCATCTCTTCCATGTGCCCCAAATGTCGGTACAGATGTCACAACCCACCACAGCAGAGATCCGTGAAATCCCACTTCAAGCACAAGCACGAGTCCCTTGTGCTTCCTGTCTCCTCCTCACTTATGAGTAAAATCTGAAGCCTGAGGGACCGTCTTTTCCCCAGAGAGCACTGCGTTCAGGGTGTCAAAATCGCCTGGCTCTCCCTGGTCCTAAAGATGCCAGGCTGGCTACGACCAGGGCCAGAGACTTTTCCGTGGTGGCTCCGCACTGGTGGAATATTGCAATATTGTACACTAGCACTTTATGAATGGTTTTATTAATGTTCTGTTTTATTTGTGTTAATCTTTATGTAAGCTGCCCTGAGCCTGCTTCAGTGGAGAGGGCAGGGTATAAATCAAATAAATAAATCTTTAAAGACATAAATATTGTATATTAACAAACTCGGGATAAGACGGGGGTCCAGTGGCACCTTAAAGACTAGTAAAATTTATTTCAGCATAAGCTTGTGTGAGTCAGAGCTCACTTCCATCAGGTGCAGGATAAAGACTTTTTAATTTTTAAATTACCATGTTCTGTAGTAGCCTCGAGGCTACCAAGACATTTGTAACACAAAAGCTCTTGTGTTACATGCATGTTCTGCTTCAAATGCCAGCGGTTGTAGAGATACTAGCAATTGCATTGTTTTGCGAACGAGTACATTTTGGAAAATGAGATTAATGGAGGTTTCTCTCTGTCTCCCTCTTGGACACACAAAGTACTGTGTGTGGACAGATGGCCTCAATGCCCTTCTTGGAAAGGATATGATGAGTGAACTGACGCGCAACGACTTGGACACTCTACTCAGTATGGAGATTAAGCTTCGTCTCCTGGACCTGGAGAACATACAAATCCCTGATGCTCCCCCACCCATTCCGAAGGAGCCAAGCAACTATGACTTTGTTTACGACTGTAACTAAAGCTACACGCACTGCTGAGACTTACTTTGAAACTGGAATTATTATAACTGGAGAGATCTTTGGTTGGTTTGGGGTTTTTTTTTAAAAAAAGGAAGAGAACAAGATATGCACATTGGACTTCGTTTTGGGGGACCATAAAAACACTTATTTCTCCCCATCACACACCTTGCTTCCTACCTTGCTCTCTAGTCCTGTCCTCCCCTCTTTGCTGGTCAAAAACAGTGCTTGCAATTGGCCGTCAGGTGAGATCAAATGAACATTCCAACTTAAGTGACACTCCTTGTTTCTAAAATTCTGGAATACACGTTCCAAATTTTAAAAAGGACTCTGTGAGCAAAAATGCTTGACCACTAAAGCAAATTCAACATTGCCGGTGCTCTAACTGGAATGGAAGAAGTAAGAAAAGAGGTGAAGCCACCATAAAGGGAGGGCGGTGAGAGACGTCTCCCCCTCCTTAGACCCATTGCAGTGTTGGCTCAATAGCCGGCTTCAATGAAAATAAAGAAGATCATTAACTGCTTTCAACTTCTACACTATTGTTATCACGACTCACCATTACCACCATTTCCATTAACACCAGCAACATCCCCCGTCTGTGCCGTGTCAAGTGACCGTTTCTTTAGGATGGAAGCTTTTTTGGCAATCATTTCTAACCTCTTAATAGCCTCGTCTCATTGACTCCCCTCCCCGACTGATTTCCACGCCATGTTATGAACCCGGTTGCTGTTTTACATCCCTGTTGTATAAGCACATATCATTAAAACTGGTGGTTTTGGGGTGTGGTTTGGTTTTGTTCAGGCTGGGATTGTTTTGTGTTCAGAGCAGCAGATGCCCATCGACACCAAAAACCGCCATGTGTTCCAGTCCGCTCTCTAGAAAATTGGAGGGGAGTTGCAGATTTACCAGAGATTTGTTTTTGTACAAAACATTTGAATGGGTTTATGCCAAAAATATATATTTAATGAAGAAGAAAAGTTATTGTGTGTACTTTTTAAAGAAATGGTCTGTTTCTTTGTTTTGAATGGTCTGAGTGGTCCCCTGATCCCTTGATCTGGGGCAAGCAAAAAATGCACCAACATTCCCATTGACGTTGCTGTTGAATAAAATTGGACTTGTGCTTATTTTTGGGATTTTGTCTTCATTCTCCGGTTCATGCATGTCTTTTGCCATTTCTGTCACTTCTGTGCTTTGTAGTGGAAAGACAAGGCAATTGTGGGTAGATGAGAGGGTCACCCTTATGTGACAGCTAGCTGTTATGAGGATCATGGTATGCATGACTGTTGAGTTGGAAAGAACAATAAGGCCATCCAGTCTGACATCTTGTCCAAAGCCTGGGACGTATATCCCTTCATGAATCAGTCCACAGAATTCAGACCACAAAGAGCCACAAACAGCAAGTATGCCATAAGCATTGCTTGCAGGTCAATAGCCATCCACAATTTGTGCAAATAAGTAACATAACATCCAAATCACAAGATGTCATAGTACCGCTGTACACTACATTGGTCAGGCTGCACCTGGAGTATTGTGTGCAGTTCTAGAGGCCTCACTTCAAAAAGGATGTGGACAGAATAGAGCGGGTGCAGAGGAGAGCGACAAGGATGATCGGGGGCCTGGAGACCAAGCCCTGTGAGGAAAGACTGAGAGACTTGGGAATGTTCAGTCTGGAGGAGAGGAGATTGAGGAGGGACATGATTCCTCTCTTTAAGTATTTGAAGGGCTGTCACCTAGAGGAGGGCAGGGAGCTGTTCCTGTTGTCAGCAGAGGATAGGACTCACAATAATGGGTTTTAAATTAAGGGCAGAAAGGTACTAGCTGTAACTTTTTTACAGTAAATGTTGTGCGACAGTGGAATCAGCTAGGGAAGCACTTGTCAGGGATGCTCTAGGCTGATCCTGCATTGAGCTGGGGGTTGGACTAGATGGCCTGTATGGCCCCTTCCAACTCTATGATTCTATGAAACAGAGCCATATTGGTACAAGATAAAACAATCCCTGGAGCCGCCAAAAAGGCACTAGACTTCAGGGTAGATCTACACACCTGTCTGACAGAGGCCCAACTGCTGGGCTGTCCACAGTAGGTAAGAGGCAGGCTGCTGCAATCTACACCAACGCAAACATCCAGACTGTCTTCAAGGGCAGCCCTAAGTAGAATACCGTTACACTAATACATTCTAGAGGTTACAGAACTCTCGATCAGCCTGGCCCATTCTGCTAAATCAAAGAAAGCTTCTGAACTAAACATGGATGTTAAAAGCCATTCCTGTCAATGGCTCCCAGTAACAAGATTGGGTCTAGAAGTACCCCTAAAATTTACCTGAACTGTCAAGCACAGCATAACTCCATCAAATGCAGGCTAGTTAATCATTTATTTATTTATTTATTTATGCATTCGATTTCTAGACCGCTCCAACCTCGAAGGGTCTCTGAGCGGTTTACAATTCAATTTTAATCCTAATCTAGGGCCACATTTTATCAAGGGGGATGGCTGCCTATCTGCACCCAGGCAGCAGGGCTTGATGGTTTTTTCAGCGTGGTCGGCTCTTGGCAGGCGCTCCACCTCCGGTTTCCTGGGGCAGGTCTTCCTGCGGCTTCTGGCAGGTCCATTGCTCGGTGCGCGGCTCGCCAGCTACTGCTCGGCCAACGTCTGTTTCGGCTCCTCTGTGCTGTGCCGACACGCCACCGCACCTCAAGGCTCCGCCTCCCATCGGGGCCATCGCGTTCAGGAACACCCTTCAGTCACTCCGTCATCGCTCCGCCGCCATCGCCGATACTGCTGCTGCCGCCGCACACCCCACAAGGAGGAGGGTGCCCCCTGCCACCTAAGGGCAGGTACCCATTCATCTACTTGCGTCTTGCTTTCGAACCGCTGGGTGGTTGAGAGACTGTGTGCCGTGCCATATTTTATGTGTCATTTGGTTGGTCCTAACAGGTTTTATGAAGATTGGTTTCTGAATTTTTTTGGATTTTACTTTGAGACTCACCTAGCTGCTAACAGTCACTTTCCACCTTTTTGTGTGAATTACATGGAAGCAAATCTGGGGAGAAGTGGGGCTATTTTCATATCTGTCGTTAAGAAAAAAGTGATTCAACCATTATCAGATACATGTATTGTTTATTTGAGGATCTGTTCTCAAGTATAAAATATAAGTAAAAATGAGCCCTGAACTATCACAAGGGGGCATTTTCTGAGTACAACTCTACCCTGTACTGGGTTCATAGCACATGTGCTTTGCTGGCAGAAAGTCATGGATTCAGACCTTCGTTCCTCTGGTTAAAACTCAGGCTCTAAGGTTGCAAGAACGGGAAAGGCTTCTTCCAACCCTTGAGCCATTGCTAGTCAAAATATTGGCGAAGTCTTGGGCTGCATGGCAGGGCACTTGTTCCACTCATGGTCAGCAGTGTGAATGGAGACCACACATTATAGCTGATGTTTGGACTTGCATCTGCAAGTCCATTTCCCAACAAACCAAGAAAACTCCTGGACTTGGTCTTTTTGGTTTGGGGGGGAGAAATGTCTTACCAAAGTAGTGCTCAGAACCATCTTATCCATTCAGCAGTACCAAGTGGTCAAGCTTTTCTTGCCCCACACCACTTCAGACTGTAGGTAGGGATTACGTGCTTGAACGCACCTCCACTTTGAATATACAAAACTGGCATGAGGGACAAAGGTTTATCCTTGACTTATTATTTTTTTATGTGTAGATTTTTTTCTAACCTGTTTGGGAAATGTCACATGAGGGCTCTCCTCCTGTGAAGAGCAGAGAAGGGACAGTGATGTCTGACAGCAGAGAGGGCCAATCAAATTCCATAAATAGAGATGATGGAGAAAATGGACGCCTTGGCACACAACGGCCTTGAATTATTCATCTGAGACAGGTTTCTGTCTTCTGTGGCATCGCGGTTTGTTTTGAATTACTTTATCTACTTAAATTGTCACCATGTGATTTCACGAGCTGATTGAGCACTGCAATTAAATCTCTCCCTAGTTCAAGCCTTGGGAGTTTAGTTTTAAACCCTGTCACTCTCTCAGTTCTCAATTGTTTGTCAAATGAGAGGCTGCCATTTTCCAAGAGACGTCAGTGTCATATCACTTGGACTTCGAAATGTCACCCGATCTGCCTCCTCTTCCCTCTCTTTGCCCTAGCATGGCCTTTCTGCTCTACCTGAGATGTGCTTCACTTTCTTTGCTTCTCTTAGGATGGCACTTTTTACATGAAAGCAGTGCCTTTCTCAGTAATTAGCTTACTTTCTCTGATGTCAGTTTGTGCTAGAGACAGAGAGAGAACACTTTGGAGACATTGGATGTCAGTGTCACAAACCATCCTAACAACGTATTAAATAGGCAAGTTTTTAGTCGGGACAAAGGGCACAAAATGGGTACAGTTAACGGAAGGTTCAATATATAAAGTACATTTGTTGTTGAGGGAGAATATTGTTTAAATAGCCAGTCAATGGTGCTTGTTGCCAGATAAATTGCCAAAAACTTATAACATTGATGGGAGTTGTTGACATTTTGGCACTGGGATGCCGCTTGTTATCATGTGTCATAGGAGTGTCCACATGCATGTAAATATTAGGAAATGGTGGAATCAAGTATCTCTGACAGCATGGGTTTTAGAATTTCATGTTCACCAGAGATATTGTTATTAAATTTGTGGGGACGTTTCTATGTGGCTCACAATTTGTGGTCTTGCGTGTTGTTACAGCCACTTGCATAGAATTTGCCAGGTGTTGAAGAGGCAAGAAGGAAAAGCTAATAGCCAATCAATGGTGCTTGTTGCCAGATAAATTGCCAAAAACTTATAACATCAATGGGAGTTGTTGACATAATGGGAGTTGAATGAGATGAACACTGGTGTTTGGAATCTAATTATCCAGAATATGAGAAGCTGTAATGAAAGCAGGAACTTGATTCAAGCATGAATGTTTGAGATATGTATATTATATTGCACAAGTGGAGACCCGCAACAAAATGTTGCGTACTGTGCTCTAGTTGGGTCTCCACTTTTTCTCTCCCCCCTCCCCGCTCCGAGCCCCACAGCCCGGAGAGGGAGCCCACCCCGCTCCTCCAGAGCGCCATCCAGCCGGCCCCCCTGCACTCTCCAGCATACTTACAAAGAGAGGTTCTGTGGAAGATTTGGGGAGGGAATGGATGCTTTGGAGGGTG